ACCGTCGTCACAAAAGCACAGCACGCAGCAGAGACTTGAGACGGTCTCCCATTTCGCTCTCCCTCACCTTCCCGCGTCCTCCATACGTTTCCCAGCAACCGCCTCCGCCGCCGTGGGCGACCTGCCGCGCCCGCGGCACATGACGCGGCCCCGCGATGGGCTGCATCCTCGGTAAGCTCGCCACCGCGCCCGGGTCCTCCCCCTCTTCTTCTCCGCCGCCGCGACGACCGCCGGGGAGGAGGCGACAACAAGGAGGTGCAGCTGCAGGCGCCGCAGCCGGAGCACATCGCGGCGGTGAAGAAGGACGCGTCCGGGTGGCCGCTCTGGCTCTCCGAGGCCGCCGGCGACACGCTCAGTGGCTGGGCGCCCCGCGGTGCCGACGCCTTCCAGAAGCTCGAGAAGGTGAGAGGGCGATCCTTTCCGCCACGCGCCGCCCGTTCTTGCTTGTTGCTTCCTTGGTAGCAGCAGTAGTTAATTACCGGAAAAGCGGCGTTTTCATGGGAATCGGGGTTGTTGGGGAAATATTTCAGCTTGCCTTTCTTCACCGTTGCTCCGATTTGTTAGTTCGTGCTTGTCATACGCGATCGTCGGTTGCGGAATTCGGCGAGTAATTTCAGTTCTTGCTTTTTCTGGTTGTCGTAGTTGAGTTGTTAGCATATTATATCACCTACTCGCTGGAAGAAAAGAAAAGGAACTCCTTTCTTTTCCTTGCTCTGAGCTGAAGAGAACAATCGATTCTTTTATGTCCTGTTATGAGTCGTAAGGACGTAAGCATCTATAAGAGAAAATAATGCAAATGATGATCTCAACACATAAACAAAGCTTTGAATTCCTAGAAATGGGTGCTTAAAAAAAGCAGAGATGAGCTAATCCCCAGTTTTTCTTCTGAGATTTTAAAAAGCCCCACAGCTCCATCATTTATGTTCATACTTTTATATGTTGTCCGTGTCACACGAATTCTTAATCCGTAAGGACGAATGGAAAAGTCAACTTGCATGCGTTCGTATTGAATTGGAGTACCTGCTAATTATCTTCTCCGGTCTTTTCAAAGAAACGAGTTGTTGTGGATTTTTCTTTTCTTTTTATTATTTTATAAGAACCAAGTCAATGGATTGGATCAGTTGGATAGAAACAAATCAACTAAATTCCATTGTTTGCCTCGCCCAACTGGTCGATTTTGATTTTAAAAATAAAATATATCATTTACGATTTTTCTTTTGCTGCTATATGCGTGCAGATTGGTTCGGGCACGTACAGCAACGTGTACAAGGCGATCGAGGTAGAGAGCGGCCGCGTGGTGGCGCTGAAGAAGGTGCGGGTGGATGGCGTCGGCGAGGCCGAGAGCGCACGGTTCATGGCGCGGGAGATCGCCCTTGCTCCGCCGCCTCGGCGACCACCCCAACGTCGTCCGCCTCAACGGCCTCGTCACCTCCCGCCTCAACACGGCGCCGTCCTCTACCTCGTCTTCGACTACATGGAGCATGACCTGACTGGCCTCACCGCCTGCGCAACTGCCTCCGGCCGCCGCTTGTCCTTGCCTCAGGTATGGTCAGTGTCACTGTCGCTGTGCATGTAAATTTGAGCACAGTAGTTCCCAAAGCTGAATTATATTTTGATCACCGTGTGAAATGAGCAATGCGAATTATAATCATTGGTGATGCATGATAAGATTGATAACTTGTCTACCTAGGATTCTAGACTTCTGATTGGTGAGGTGGAGGGTTTAACCAATCTTTTGGTTTCCTGGTAGTCTGCGATTAGAAAACTTAACACAGAATGAAAATTTGGCGTCTTGCTGTTGGATTGCTTACTGCTTAGGATAATGCGGTCAGGACTACTGTGCTTGTGAATTGAACTGCAGCAAAGGAATGGACTCTAATTGAACAATGGAGTTTCTTTGCTGAAACCAAATTGCATGCGTTGTGAACTACTTAAAGTTACTATTTACTAATGTCATAACATGCGCCATTCTAAACTTCATTTGACCCTCTTTCGACGGAGCATAAAAGGGTACACAAGCAGCTCTCGGGTTTTGGAGAAAAAAAGAAGTGAAACAGAGACATCGGTAGCGCTGTCTGAATATATTTTTCAGACAAGTCTTCTATTTGGGAGACCGAATGCTGTGTAATTGATGTAACTTCTTTCATTAGTTCTGGAAGAAGCATCATTGACTGATTATTAGAAGTGGAATTCTGCTTTAGCCTTTTTGCAAGAAGCAAACAAATCCATCAGACTGGTACACCACAATGATGTGGACCTGTAAATCTGTTGGACTAAGTGAAGCATAGTATTCCTAGGTTTGAACACAGGCGCCAGTCCAATTGACAGACAGGTACCGTGTGCCTTTTGTGAACTACAGTCATTTCAACCGTCAACATTGGCTGCAGTAAACTGACTGGAATCTGTCTCTGAATTTCGTTATCCTGTATAAAAAACAAGCTCTGTATTGCCGTTTGGACTAAATGGAAATGGGCCAACCTGGTTCAGTAAAAATTGACCGACTAGCATTTGAAATTGTGAAAGGTTGTCAATTACTTTCTTTTTCTGAAAAGCAAGGGTCCAACTATGAGATGTTTTCCAGATACATGGTTACTGACAAATGTATGCCTTGTTTTTTAATTACATGTTTGTACTCATGAAGCGTATTTCCTCGTTTGCAGGTGAAGTGCTTCATGAAACAGTTACTTTCAGGGATTGAACACTGTCATAACAATGGTGTTCTGCACCGTGACATCAAGACCTCGAACTTACTTGTCAGCAGCGATGGAATTCTTAAAATAGCTGACTTTGGACTTGCCACCTCTTATGATCCTGAGAACGTGCGGCCCATGACTAGCCAAGTGATTACGCTTTGGTACCGTCCACCTGAACTCTTGTTAGGAGCAACTCACTATGGTGTCGGTGTTGATCTTTGGAGTGTGGGTTGCATATTGGCAGAACTGCTTCTTGGCGAGCCGATATTCCCCGGAAGAACAGAGGTACTTGGTTTGGTCTAGCTGAAATGTGTCTTGGATATGCAGGGTATCATTTGGTTTGTCTATTAACAAGTGGTTTGTTTAGGTGGAACAATTGCACAAGGTTTTCAAGTTATGTGGTACTCCATCAGAGGATTACTGGGAGAAAATGAAGTTCGCTCATCCTACATTCAAACCATATCAACGGTGCCTAGCTGAAAAATTTAAAGATGTGCCACCATCTACCCTATCACTTCTCGAGACTCTCCTATCGATTGACCCAGATATGAGAGGCAATGCAACTGATGCTCTGAACAGTGAGGTTAATACTACCCTATCACCCTCAAGGCATCTAAAATGAACTGCTGCATCAAACAAATACAAAAAAATAAAAGATAAATTATGACCAGACATTATGCAAAAGAATAATCTACATCTGATCATGATTGCACGGATTAGGGTAATTTGCATTCGTGTATCGTAGAGATCAATTTTTTAGTTGGAAACAAATAAGTGGTCCTTTGTTCAGCTGTTCTTATCAAGTTATTATTTTCTGTGGATTCAGTTCTTCATGACAGAACCATATGCCTGTGAACCATCGAGCCTTCCACGCTATCCACCATGCAAAGAAAGAGACGTGAAGTTGAAGTATGAGAAGCATAAAAGGTTTGGTGCTACTCTTTGCATTTATTGTAGATATTTTCTTTTGTTCATGGAAAGCTTTAACGTGTGGTTCTTTTTCAGGAAGTCGAGGGTTAATGGGTCAGTAGAACGTCACAGAAACCGACAGCACGCATCACAAAATCCTGGGCGCAGAGTTTTTACTCCAGATGCCAATAATAAGCCGCAAGCAAATCCAAAGGTGCATATGTTTTCCCCCTTTTCCTCTGCAAGAATTTGATTCAAACCTCAACATCATCATGCTCAAATTTCCACCACTCCTGGCAATGTTTGCGTCAATATTTTTACATCAAAAGCTATATCCAAGAAACTATGTAGACACAGAAAACACAAATAAACGGTGAAATGTGTTAATTTAATCTTCAGGTACCAAGGTTGGTGACAAGCACAAGCACAACCAAACTTGAGAGATTTCCTCCGCCTCATTTGGATGCGTCGATTGGTTATAGTTTAGATTCATTGGCTGATGGAGCCACAGAAGAATTCTTCTCGTCATCAGTTGTTGAGCTAAAGAAAATGCCAAGTCTAATATTTGGTCACGTGAAATCTTACCTGAATAGCCCAAAGAAGGGCATGCACAAGGCAAAACCAAGCCTCAACATGGCGCCTTCAACCGTTCTCATTGGTGCATTCCGGCCTTATTCATTTGGGCAGCCAATGGAAGTGAGAAGAAAGAATAGGGAGCAATTCAGAAGCAAAGGAAGAAATGCATTAGGTGCAGTCAAGTGACATCCTAATCATGTTACCTTTTTTTGCCCTTTACCCTTTTATAGATTCTAGATAGTAGCCGGTGAATTTCAACCACAGTTGATAAGTTTTACCTTGTATAGTTAGAGAGTACTATAAACTAGAGTTGTGTCATTTATTCTGTATAATGGATCACAAAGTTTCATCTGCAACAGAGCAAGATCTGAGAACACCCTCACAAATTTGTGTCTTAAACCTCTGCATTGAAATCAGAGGGAAAAGAAAAAAAAAGGGTCAAGGGGATTGTTAAAACACTTGCACATGATCTTAATCTTGCGCAGACGTTTCCGCTACATGAGCACGCAGAATTCAAAAGTACAGATAATCAAATTACGCAAAGCTTGGATGGATTTCCAGATTGCCCTCCTTTCCCAACACTAATTTGTATTTTCTCTACAACAGGAGCAGTCCAGAGCTGATGCTCCTTGCACCATTTACAGAATCAGCTTCTCGAATACGGGGTTAGCTTACGACAACTAACCAAGGTTGAAAAATAACAGCAAGTGATGCAAGGCTAGCATCAATGCATCATAAACGATGACTGAATGAGCCATGCGTGTGTGTTTTTACAAGCTGAGACGTAGTAAAATGTAGAAGATCCCATACAGCGCTGCCTGATCAGGGTTGAGAGCTTGCAGCTGAAGCGGCAGCAGGAGGCGGCGAAGGTTTGCCTTTTTGTCGGCTGAACAAGTTGTGCCAAGCAGCAGCGACGACCGACAAGCCACTGAACCTAAGCCATCTGTTTCCCTCTTTAGGTTGGGAAACCTGCATATTAATTAATTTATCAGCAATTAGCAGATGTAATATATCTCTATATACCACAGCTGACAGCTGCGAGTGCAGAGCAATTTTAGCAGATGTAATACATGACATGGATCATGTACCTCGTTGGAGTCGTGTGGCTTGGTCGCCGAGATTTCGCTCCTATTGCTCAGCTGACGCGCCGTCGCTGCAGAGGAGGAGAGAAGGATGGTTCGAGAAGTGTCAGCGTCAATGGAGCTCACGATACGACAAGCAAGAAGGAGGGGGAGAGCTAGCTGTGCGCGAATTAAGTTGAAGTACCTTTGATCCTGACGGAGCCGTCGCTGTTGTCGGCGTCGGCCACGATCTTGTCGACGGCAGCCGTCTTCTTCTGGCAGTAGTACCGGAAGCTCGGCGAGCCGGGCATCGGCGGAAGCGCGGCGGTCCCCTCCTCCAGCTCCTTGGGCTCCGGCGCCACCTTGCACCCTCGCCTCCTGCCCCCGGACGACGACTCCGCCTCCTGCCCCTGCCCTTCCTGCTGCTGCTGCGGTGGCGGCGCCAGCAGACCCGAGGTGGACGCCTCGCTGTGCCCCAGCGCCCGCGCCCGCGCCCACCCTCGCCGCCGGGGCTCGGCCCCGTCGGCGGTCGACGCCGCGCACCCCATCGCGGCCGCGGCCAGCGTGGGGGAGGGGGGCGCCGGTGAGTGCGAGGGCGTGCGTGAGCGGGAGAGCGGTCGAGGGGCGGAGCGGCGGGGTGGTCGGAAAGGATGGCCTCCCATGCCGCGCCGCGCGGCCGGCCTTAGTAAGGAGGCGCGCGCGAGGCGGTTTCGACCGTTGCGGCCGGCCAGCGGCGGCGCGGGCTTCTCGGGGCGGGGCGGGGCCCAAATTTGGCGGCCTGATGGCAGATGATGCCAGCGGGGTCCCACCTGGCAGAGATCCCACTCCTACTAAGACGGGCTTCGTTGGGCCTGATGGGCTGTCCAGAGATGAACGAGCGCAAATGGAGCCCACTTCAGCTAAAACAAACCTCGCCGGTTGGCGGTTGCTCAAAAAAAAAAAAAAAACTCGCCGATTCGTTCCACTCGGAAATCCCACCGCGCGCGTACGCCGCCGCCGCTCACCTCACCGAACCCTAGGCGGGACCCTAGGCGTTGCGGTAGCCCCCTCGGCCGGGGCGAGCGGCGGAGGAAACCGGAAAGCGATCCCCCCTCCCCTTCCCTTACCGGGGGTCGGGGGAGGGAGAAACTAGCGGAGGCGGCGAATCAGGTCAGAGGGGGGCACGATGAGGATCATGATCAAGGGAGGCGTGTGGAAGAACACGGAGGACGAGATCCTCAAGGTGGCCGTGATGAAGTACGGCAAGAACCAGTGGGCGCGCATCTCGTCGCTGCTCGTCCGCAAGTCGGCCAAGCAGTGCAAGGCCCGCTGGTACGAGTGGCTCGATCCGTCCATCAAGAAGGTAACCGACTACTCGCCTCTCTCACGGACCTGTCTCTCCTCTCGGCAGACTAGCCTCTCCGCCCGGTCGCCGTTCTATTACTGATTTTTGGCGGTCTTTGGAGTGTCATTCTGCTAAGGATCACATTTAGAACACTGTCTTTATGTTTTTCTGAATCCTGCTGCATTGGCAAGGTTGCGACAGTAGAGATGGTGTCTGGTTCACTCAACAGTAGAGATGTGATTATTAAGGATTCTGGAGTGGTGTTGTGACGACACAGTTTAGTTTGTTTAATTAAACTTTTTAGCAGCTCAGCACGTTGTCTGCCGAGAAAGTGGAAAGCACTAGAAGTCAATAAGCGGTTACCTTTCCTCTGAAATCTTCGCACGCTTAATACATGACCTAGTTCTTAGCGATATAAGTGATTACCTTTTCTCTGAAATCTTCCATGCTTAATACATGACCTAGTTCTTAGCGATTTAGTGTCATGATGCAAAGTAGCCAGTGGACTCTTGCTTTTCCCATATGGATGACCATCACCCTCCCAGCCTTTGTAACAAATGTTCCCTGCATGCTAAAAGGAAAAAGAAGAAGATGGTTTTTCTATGCATTTATGCAATGGAACGAACAACAGAAAGATTTATGCTCTATGAACCTTGATTAGTATGCTGGTTTTCGATTGTGACAATCTCTATCATTAGATGACTCAAGTGTTATCCTTTCGCAAGCATTTGAACTGGCGAACTTTAGAATCAGATAAAAGAATATCGGCTTTCAGCTTGAATATCTTGAGTTGCAAGTTGGTGGTAATACAGAATATTGGCATCCTTACTTTAGGAGGTTATTGATTCTAATGCATTTTGGAGCCAGATAACAAATTATTATCTTTTCTTTGTCTTGACAAGCATCCATGTTTATATCAATATATCCTATGGATTTAACATCATCTAATAACATCTATTATTTCTACTAGCTAGATAACATACATATTAACTGAATGAAAGTTTTTACAGTCTAGTGGTCACTAAATACAACTGGACTAAGCACCTGAATCATTTTTTTCTTGCCAAAAGATAAATTTTGCACTGTTTTAAGTAAAATTTGATAGTTTGGTTGTGAGAAATGTCTATAGCAGATGTTAACTACTTCATAGAGTTGGTTTTGATTGTAGAAGGTTTGGTCCACTGTTTTATCTGAAATTATGCTGGACAGCTCTTTTAATTGGACTTGGTTTTTCAAAGTGGTGTACTTAACCAGGAACAACTAACCCTAGCTACTGTGTCGCGATCAGTTGCATGAAACTTTTACAGTTAGGTTCTCAGTGACCGGCAGCAGTTCCATGCCGACTACCTGTTATAATCTGTCTAAAATTTTATCACACTTTGAAAATGCACCTAGGTAGCCTTTTAAGTTTGAATGAATAAGCTAAACTGGCTGATTCAACGCTTAATTTTGTCAAGTGAGTTCTAATTTTACCTTCTCTAGTCTTGATGTATTTAATTGCAAGAGCAGGGTGAAATATGAGTATTAATTAATGGAACATTAGCATACTATAGAGTCTACTTATCTTGTTTTGGAACTGGTTAGCTTCTGGAAATTTTTTGTGTTCATAGATTTCTAGTTATTACTGTGTAAATGATTAGTTGTTACTGGCTTCTGGCCTGCAGCTATTTTGTCAAATGTCAATTTTTTAATCGACAAGAGTTTCTTGGTAACCTAGAGCTATTAAACTTTTCACGCTTTAATATATTTATGAGATGAATGTCCGCTGTAAGTTTATCATTCGATAGTTTGTATGGTAGATAAAATCAATATAACCTATGTTAGCATTTTCATCATTGTATTGATATAACTTGGAATGTTACTAGCCACTATGAATCATATTTAGAAGCAATGTATTAATGACGTTTAGAAGAACTGTTGTCTATATTTTTATCTCTTCCTGTCAATATTCACAATTGATGCTTAAAAATAGAAGACAAAACCCTTCAGTTTCCTCTTAGAATATTCGGTTATGTGTCCAGAAGGTTGCTATGGGTCTGATTGGTTAAGCAATTAACGCCTTTTCTTCATTGATTGAAATGTGGACCCATGCTGTTAAAAGTATAATGGACCCATTAATGCCTTTTGTTTGTTAATATAGGCTCTAAAATCTAAATGAATGTGTGGTACACCAGTACTTCTAATTTTTACTAGATCACGGGCACTATCATCTAATTTTTAACTTTACTGAAATTCTCTGAGTGTGAGTTCACATTGTCTGCAATGTATTGACGTGAATGGTTTAAATAACCCATAACCTTCAAAATAGTTCTTTCATTGGTCATTTGCTCTATTATGGCATATGTCTTTCTTGTTTACTGATGTCTGTCACAAAGATGATTGTTTTATTGTTTCTCTCACTGTGCTCATTTATGTTAATTTCAGACCGAGTGGACAAGGGAAGAGGATGAGAAGTTACTTCATCTTGCTAAACTCATGCCTACTCAGTGGAGGACAATTGCACCTATTGTAGGTCGAACACCATCTCAGTGTCTTGAACGTTATGAAAAACTGCTTGATGCTGCATGTGCGAAGGATGAAAATTATGAGGCTAATGATGATCCTAGGAAGCTGCGGCCTGGCGAGATTGACCCAAACCCTGAGTCAAAGCCTGCACGTCCTGATCCTGTTGATATGGATGAAGATGAAAAGAAATGCTTTCTGAGGCTAGGGCCCGCTTAGCTAACACTAGGGGTAAAAAGGCCAAGCGAAAGGCAAGGGAGAAACAACTTGAAGAGGCAAGACGGCTTGCCTCACTACAAAAAAAAAAAGGAGAGAATTGAAGGCGGCTGGTATTGATACATACAGAAAAAGAAAGAGAAAGGGGATCGACTACAATGCTGAGATCCCATTTGAAAAGAGACCACCTTCAGGTTTTTATGATACTGTTGGTGAAGACAGGCCACTTGAACATGTACAGTTTCCAACAACCATTGAGGAGCTTGAAGGGAAGAGAAGAGCAGATATAGAGGCACAATTAAGAAAACAAGATATCGCCAGGAACAAGATCCTGCAGCAACAGGATGCCCCTGCTGCTATAATGCAAGCCAATAAACTAAATGATCCAGAAGCTGTCACAAAGAGGTCAAAGCTAATGCTGCCGCCTCCCCAAATTTCTGACCATGAGTTAGAGGAGATAGCAAAGATGGGCAATGCTGGTGATCCTGCTTTAGCTGATGAGCTTGGTGAAGGAAGTACTGCCACAAGAACCTTGCTCGCCAGCTATTCTCAGACTCCAAGGCTTGGTATGACACCATTGCGAACTCCGCAGCGAACTCCAGCTGGGAAGGGTGATGCAATTATGATGGAGGCAGAAAATCTTGCACGTCTTAGAGAATCACAAACACCTCTATTAGGAGGTGACAACCCAGAGCTTCATCCATCAGATTTCTCTGGTGTTACACCACGTAAGAAGGAGATACAGACTCCAAATCCAATGGCAACACCTTTGGCAAGCCCTGGCCCTGGTATTACTCCAAGGATTGGTATGACACCATCCAGAGAGGGGCACAGCTTTGGTTTAACACCGAGAGGAACTCCTTTTCGTGATGAACTTCGTATAAATGAAGAGGTGGAAATGCAGGACAGCACTAAACTTGAGCTTCGTAGGCAAGCTGAACTGAGGAGAAGCCTGCGATCTGGTTTTGCTTCTATTCCACAGCCAAAGAATGAGTACCAGATAGTCGTGCCACCTATTACGGAGGATGAGAAAGAAGAAGCTGAAGAGAAAATTGAAGAGGACATGTCAGACATACTGGCACGAGAAAAGGCTGAGGAACAGGCTAAGCTTGAGGCATTGCTCAGAAAGAGATCCAAAGTGTTGCAGAGAAGTCTGCCTAGGCTACCGGCTGCTTCAGTAGAGATTCTCCGGCAATTTCTTATTAGAAGTGGAGAAAGCAGAAGCAGAAGCACCTTTGTGCCTCCTACATCACTTGAACAAGCTGATGAACTAATAAATGAGGAGCTCTTTAGGCTTCTTGAGCATGATAATGCAAAATACCCTCTTGATGAAAAAACTCAAAAAGAGAAAAAGAAAGGAAGCAAGCGTCAGCAAAATGGAGGACCTCTTGTCCCTGAAATTGATGATTTTGATGAAGATGAACTAAAAGAGGTGCTATCCTTTGTCTCCATCCTCTTATATTTGTATTAGAATATTCATGTTGAACTGTATCTCCTCTTTCCTGA